AAATGGAACAAAGCAATGGAACTCAGAGGCTGCCACCTTCATTCACATCCTTGCGCAGGCTAAGGCGCGCTCCCACCGGCGCCTTCCCGGCCCCCCGTTGCAGCGGCCTGGGGAAGCGGTGGTGCGGCCTCCTCGCCTTCGCGGCCCAGCGTGCCTTTTTGGTTTCGCTCTTGACCCTCCCCGCCGCGCCTGGGGCGACCATTGACGGCGAGGCTCCGCTCCTCAGCGCCCTTGCCGTCCCCCATGTTGAGGCGCGCGCCCCAGTCGCTTCGGGCCGCGATAGACCGTGGCACCCCGACTCGGCTGAAGCTGGTTGGACAAAGTGGTGGGGGAAAAACAAACAATTTTCAGAATGCTTGCGAAAAGGGCCGGGGCCGTGTTGGCAACAGACGTCCGGCCCATAGCCAGTGTCAGACTGTTCTACAAAACGTTTGCTTACATGCTTTTACACTGAGTGGAAAGCACCAAGGCACCCTGGAAACAGCTCTCGGGAGGCGCATGGAGGAGCACTTGTTGAGTTTGGCGGTGCAGACCCCTCTATGGATGCGTCGTTTTGTGGCCGGCATTATGGCGCGCATTGAATCAACAGGGCATCTCGGAACATTTGATTTGGTTGATGTCATCAAGTTGGGCAAGTCGTGGGAGAAATGGATGACAGTGAAGAATTTGACATTTCGGCTGGTGTTCGTCAGGGTTGTGTTCTAAGCCCGCGTTTGTTTTGTGGAATTTTGAGAAATGCAATGAAAAATTGGAGGCGGAAGGTGGAAACTTACAGTTTCGACTTGGGGGATGGCCTGCCTCCATTGCTTGACCTGCGATTTTCTGATGATATTCATTTGTTCGGATCTTCGTCACGTACTTTGCTCCATATACTAGATGAGCTCATTAATTGTTTAGCCAACGTCGGTCTACATTTGAATGCCTCAAAAACGGTCTTTATGACCACTGAAGCTCAGCCCCCGCCCTTACTGACAACAAAGCATGGTGCTCAAACCAAAGTCCTGGAGCCAGCTCTTGGTCATAAATGGCTTGGGTGCATATTGACGGCCAAAGGGTCCCAAAATTCAGGAACCGACAGCGACCACCACCTTGCAGCTGCCACACGGGCATTCCATGCAAGCAAGGAAGTTTTGTGTGGCAGGAAGGTTTCGGTTTCCGCGCGCAAAAAGTTTTGCTTCTTCAATGTCGTGGTGACCACTGTGGTTTCTTTCGGTGCTGGGCCACGAGCGGTACATATGTCAGACTTTGCCAAACTAAATTTTCACTTTTGGAAACTGGCACGTTTCGTGGTAGGGCCACCTGCGGGTGTTGACTGGACCCACCCTTGGCACCAGATATTAGCTTTGTGGGATGAACGTGTTGACGTTCGTGTTTCAATCCGGAGCGCGTCCGTGGAGAAGGGTGGCACTGCAACAACACACTGGAATTTTGCAAAGTACATGGCGAATTTGCCGGGCAACAGGCGGGCAAAGATACAGGTCTCACTCACTCGCTTTGCCGAAGCCAGCCGCAATTTCATTGCCGGCGGCCATGCTAGTTCGAGATATCTACACAAAAACCCTCCCCCTCGCACATTCGCGCATAATGTACCAGGTGGGTGACGGGTTGTAGAGCAGGCAATTGCCTGCGGCCCCGCCAAAACCCGCATGCGCTTTCAATCAGTCAGCATGGGACAGACCCATACAGTCATGCGTCATTTTTTCACTTCGACGAACAACTGCTTCCACAACCACAAGCTGCGAAACCCATGGAAAAAGGGAGGAACATTAAGGCAAATTTTTTGTTAGCACGGGAACACGAATGTTGGCCGGGCAGTGGGAAACGCTATATGTATATAACTTATTTTCATACACGCATGTATGGCTGCAAACAACCGGGCCAGAGCACGACATCCCTCCTGACTTGTGAACGGCCACAAAAAAAGGATCCTTCAAAGTCGTTCATGGAATGCCGCTTTCAGAGGAAATCAGAGCAATTTCTTGCCTGGGGCAGCATCAGGTTGACATTATCAAGGTGGCCAAATGAGGTAGGTTCAACAATGATCTGGGTTGGCTTCATTTGTTGAGCCACAGCGGTCCTGCTCCCATGTGGTCCCTACGTCCGCTACGTCCGCTACATCCATGGCGACCACGTCCTCGGCGTCCGCTACGTCCTTTATGTCCCCGACGTCCCGACGTCAATGTCGTGCTCCCTACGTCTATTCCCCTGGCGTCCTCCACGTCTTCGACGTCCCAATTCCGTTGTTTGTCCACAGGCTGTGCTCTGTTGACAGGGGTTGCCCGGCATTGTCATATCACGTCAATTCGTCAATTCACGTCAGTTCACATCACATGCAAACTTTTTGTTTCCCCCAGAGCAGAAAACCGAACTATGTACAAGGGTTTAAGTTTTCATGTCACGCCATGCCCATGTACTACAAGCAAACACCGGCATCCAAACTGGAACAAAATGAGGCGGACCCATCGACCGTGAGCCAGCTCGCGCTGTATCGGGAAAACGGCGTCACACAACATTCGGGCGATGTTTCTTTCAACACGGACTAAAGTATCGTGACGTGTTGGGCAACAGCGCCATTGAACACGCTTGGACTTTGGGGCGACAACCAGTTGCGAGAATTGCGGAAAGGTTGCGGGCGCTTGAGGAACAAGCTGCCAAAAAGTGCTTGCACGCCTTGGCTGGTTTGGTGCCATTGGCTAACGATGCAGTCTACAGTGGTTTTCCCACGCCGCTGTGACCTGGGTGTTGCCGGCAGACCGGCGGCGGTTGGACCTCGTCCTTTACGGCACCTCGCGCCTCGGCGAGGCCCTTTTCTGCGATCGCCCTCGTGTCCGTTCTGCAAGCTGACGGGCGCCCACATCGTGGCGCCGCTTCCAATGACGAGCGCGTCCTCCACATGCGCAGGGCGGCAAGGAGGCTCGGTACCCGAACTCACGCGACCGGGGCCACAATGCCTGGTCGTCCTCGCCTGCGAGATTGGCGGCCGGGAGGGGACGCGGAGTGCCTCGCCTACGTTCGGGCCCTGGTCCCGCCGCTGCTGGGGGCTGTTGGGCTGTGCTCAGCAGCGGGCGGTGGGATCCACGCGCTTCCGTGGCGCGCCCCTTCACAGCCCGATGATACGTCTAATTCCCGGAATGAACTGGTGGTCTGATTTTTTCGTGACCCGGCGGGTTCACAATGGAGCAGTGCGAACAATGGCTGCAGTGCGAACTGTATACTAGTAGGAAAGTCCATACCTTTTTCCCAGACGCCAGGGACATTTTATTAATATGATTTTTTCTCGCACCGAACCTAAGTCACAGGATTCCAAAAAAATCGCCAAAAAATTAGAGGACATGCAATTCCAATGTTGACGCAGGAAAGAAATAAGAGACATGGAAAAAAATCATTAGGAATTCCTAGAAGGATGGAATGGTTCAGCACAGGATTTCAAAACAGTTTCATTGCCCCTCCTGGAACAATAGAGTAAGGTCTTACCAAGGAATTCATTACATTGGTTGGTCTAGAGTCTAGCGAGGATGTTTTATTTTTGAATCCTGTGCCGACGCAAGACGTGACACATACTCAAAAGAGACCAAGAGCTGCACACAGAATTATTCTCCCGATGACACACGTACACCCAGCAGGTTTCTTTTCTATACGGGGGAACGCGCCATGTTTTTGGAGACGTCGTCATGTCATGTCTTCCAGTGCCGGCGTTTGCCAACTGCCAACTGCCTTGCCACGAGAGCTGCATCCAGATCAGCATGTTGATGGTCAAGCCCACGTCTTCCGGGCTTCCATGTTTGCTTGGGGGCCTCCAGGTCCATCACTCGAATAGGATGTCTAGAGTTTCTATTTGTTGGACGCTTTGTACCTTAGCTCTTATGTATTTATGTTCACACACAAACATAATCACATACACACATAAACCTGGCCCGATTCAGAGGAATCGTAAAAAGCACTCGACCTTTAGCAGAGACTCGACCGTCTAGACCCGGACAGCGCGAAAAAAACAGGCCTGGTCACTTTGAGGAAGGGCAGGGACACCCCTCAACCAGGACTTTAATATGCCAGGATGTTTGTTACACATGAGCTTCTTCAACCTTTGTACTAGGATTCCATAAAACAGGTTGACGCAGGATTCCATAAATGCTCAAAACCCTTAAATTTTTTTGGTTTCCAACCTTGGCACGCAACAAAGAATAAGGAAATGACCTCAGCTCGAAAGGATTTTATATAATCCTGCGTCAAACCTTTAGCGTTCCTTCCTACTAGTATAACTGTGTACAATTGGGAGCCTTGCCCTAGCGCCATGCCGCTCATCCAGTGAGAGGAGGCCATCCCTTCGATGAGACTTGTCATGAGCGAGAGCGGGCACGCATGACTCAACGTCATCGGCGGACATCTCTCCGCACACGTGCCACCACCAAAAGCGCAATTGTAACTGGTAACGAAACTGCAGTTTCGAGGCAAGACTCTTCAAAATCCCAGAGCGGCAATAACTTTTTTTACCTGCTGCGCAGTGATCATGATGACCACCCAGGCATCAAAACACGCCAGGCGAACACTGGTCCAACCCCCAAACTAGAAAAGGAACCCTTCGCTTTGCACTCGGACTGGGTTTTTCCACGCGAACGTGACCTCCGTAGATGTCCATAAATGGACATTTTCTGTGCTAACACATGTGAACACCATCGTGCAACCCATGTCAACTACTATGATTTTATGTTAATTCCCATCAATTCCCTTACGCCATCTTGGCAGGTAGAACGTAGTGTTTTGAGGTTATGTTGGAATTTCCAGGTCGAAGTTGAAATAGGGAAATGTACGTGACTTGCATCAGAGTAGGTGCATCCTGCAGACGTTTCAGTTCTTAAATGGCCAGACTTTGGGTACGTCCCTTTCACTGTGGAAACGTCAGCCGCTCCACAGTAAAAACACATGCTTTACAACATTGAGAACTCAAGGTTTCTACTTGCAGTGGGGGCTCCAAATTTCTCAATAGGCATTCCTTTGGCATCATGGAGAGCAGTGATGATGAAGATGATTGGTGTCCCAAGACCCAAGTCGGGCTTCAGGAGTGTGAGATGCTGTGGTTTTGGTGCCTGAGTTGGTCATGTGTCGGCAGGATCTCATTCATGGCCCTTCTCGCGCCAAGATGCCTCTGATCAGCCAATTTGATGAAGGCAATGGCCAGAATGCCAAGGCGATTGGCCTTACGAACTTCACCTGTTTCATTTGAACGGTGGCTTTGGGCAGACCAGGTTGAGAAGAACGCCCCGCTGCCAAACCAACAGCGCCGAACTTGGAAATGAGCCGGCTGGAATGTGCACGAACTGGTTCGCCCGAGGCTCGTGGAACCTGTGTGGTGCTCGGTGGGCTTGAAACAACATCGAGCACGCGCATGCTGCTGACTACAAAGCTGCCGCGTTTCCAATCGAAGTGCGTGAAATCGGGCCAACGCGAACCAAACCTAATCCAGACTCGGATCATACATGGCACTGGGCACACAGCCCGTCAAATGACAAATGATTTCCCGCATGCATGATGCCTTCAAGATCCAAAACCACCGATTGAACCTATTTTGGATTGAATTATCTAGTTTTTTTCAGAACTACGTTGCACAGAGGATCACAAAGGTGTTTGCCATCAAAATTGAACGTTCTGTATTGTAGAACGTTTTGCTTGGATTGATTGACTTTCTGTCCGCGTGCCGCTTATGGACATGGTCGGTTCCAGAAACTTGGCTGAACATGAGCCTCGCAAAACGGGACATTGGTAAGAAAAAGAGGCGGCAACATTGCAAAGTCGTTGCAGATTTCTGTGCATTTGGGGATTGAATTCGGGTTGCCACCGAGGTGACTTCCACGTTCAGGATAATGAACTTGAATCTCACATTGTTGATGCACCACGCAATGTGAAGGCACGCGCCAAATCGTTCGCAACTTTGGATTAACAAGCTCATGCGCGCGGCGCGAAAGCATATACATGCTAAAAGGCCAACTGGAGTGTGGGTGAGGACTGTCGTGCCAATTGGATGAGTAATCATAGTATTTGGTCCTTCCTTTTTGCTTGTGCAATTGCGACAGGCCCGAGCTGAACAGGAGGCAAAGTGGGCTGGAGACTACGATGGCCGACAGCACTGGTCTTTGCGGGAAGCGTGCCCGCTAGTAACATCATTTGACAGTGAGTTACAGTATATTTAATAATCAATTATGTCCAACCTTGCTGGTGAGGTATTTGAAACATCGGGCTCGATTGCAAGGGGCGCAGCGTGATTTGTATCGATACTTTGTGGAAGAGGTTTTCGAGAGCCGGCCGTGTCAGCAAACATGATCCAAGATCAAAAGAGAATTGCTGTGCATTTTGCGTTTGTTTTCAGTCAGTTGTCTCCCGAAGCACTGCCCTCAGCAGCTGTGCGCAGCTGCTTCTTTTGCTTTTCCACTACTTTACCTGAGGAGTGAAGTTGCTGTTGGATGCCCACTTCTTGTCGCAGTCGTCCTGCCTTAAGGTCGGGATCCTGAGAAAACATGTGGGGTTCTTCTCCTGTGTTTTGTGCCAAGGACCTGGACCTTTCAATCCTGGAGCGCGTGGCGGACTTTGGCTTTGCCCAAGGTCCTGCAGTGGGGTTTCTGGCGGGCTGGCGCAAGCCCAAACCCACCTCAAATCCACACATCAGGCGGGTTCATTCCAGCTGCCTGTCGCCCCCGTGCATAAGCTTGGCAGAAAGGAGGAAGGTGCAGCACTCATTGGGGTCATAAGGCGTAGATCAGTTCATCAGAATCAATGCTTCATTTGCAACTCCTGCAGTTTCCTGGAAGCTGTCGATGTGCCAGCGCTGGATCATTTGTCATTTTTCACGGTTCACCTTGACATTTCGTAATCTTTGGCAGGTTCATGGCTCGCAAGCGGCCGTTATTGCCTTTTGAGGTTGCTGCAGGTGACTGGGATTGCGTGACGATATCCAGGCCAGATGCGGCTGTGCGTGGGTTCTGGGCAAGCCCTTGGTGTATGGATGCTTCGGACCACGGTGCCACATGTTTTTTAGCAGGACGCTGGACGTTGATTGAATAGAGAACAATCTTGCACACGCAAACACTCTGCACGAAAATCATGATGTAGGCCGGCTCAAAACCGTAGGAAAAAACACATCGACAGATACCATGGCCAAGATTAAATGCAAATGACGCTAATGTGTGTTGCTTCGGCAGTAAGTTTCCAAAACGGACTTGAGCGGACCACCCGACTGGCTCTGCTGCTGCTAAGCAGAGAATGCAATCTGTGGAAGAGGAGTGCAGCACGAGTGGTTTGTCACGATGGCCGCCTACACCGCACTGGACGCAGATTAGAAATGCTTCACAAAAAATTTGTTTTGGAGCTTTGGCTGAGTGGGTGCATGCAGCCACGAGCCATGAGTTCATGCTGCAAGAATCAACAAGTGAGATTTGCACATCCGACGGTCAGATTGTTTGCAGGGGTGGTGCAGACGTGACCAGGGGACTCAATACTGTGATATTTGTTCAATGTTTCCATTCGGTTCATTGGAGATGTCGGTTGGTGTCCTGATGCCCAAGGATCAAGCCTATGACTCATCAGTATCTGACAGTGAGTTCTACGCAGATGCCGTTTCTTGGACAAATGGGGTGCTGTATATGTTACGGAATGCGTTGTGGGGTGCACGTTGTGTGGTTGGTGTTGCTCTGCAGGTGAGGCCGCTGGTTGCTTCACTGACTGGAGCGGAGGCGCATGCTGACAGTTGCTGACACAACCAGGAATCATCGGGTGGAGAGGGACTGTCCTGCTTTTTGTGCAAAGCTAACAGTGATGGCGCGAGGGATTCCCCAGCCGCGTGATGAGGGTTGTGTATTTCACGCCCCGATTTGTTGATGATTGATTGAGTCAAGGCCACCATCATTTGCTACGGCCAGACTGGCACGGGCAAAACTCACACATTCAACGCATGCTGGAAGCGCATTGGAAACGACCTTGCGGGGTGCACGATTTCCGTGACTTTCTTTGAAATCCACGGAAAAAAGTGCCCCCTGGCTGCAGCCGATCACACGGTTAAAGTATCCGACAGTTGAATATCCTTTGTAAAGCTAGGTTCTGGCTCAGATCAGCTGGTTCCGGTAATAGCGCAAACTTTCCATTCCATGCACTCGAGTGACAATATATAGTGATGATGTCAGTCTGCCAGCTTGCCTTCTATGATTTCATTCACGTCTGTTCAGAAATCGTGACGTGCTGCCACAATGTCAAAATGAACCTGGACAGAATGAAGCCACGTTCACGTTCCTATGCATTTCTTGTAGCTCTTGTCACCAATTATTTGAGGCTACGACCTGCTGCAGCAGCGTAAAGAAGTGACTCTGCGGGCAGATGGGGATGAACGTGTTCATGTAAGGCACATTGTGCATTGCTTCGGATGACTTCTCAAAATAGCTCCTAGTCAAATTTTCGCAAAGAGATGGAATACACCCAAATACAACAAATTTGTTGTTTCCAGATGGATGCACTTGCACAAGATTGATCTTTGACTGTCAACCAGGATGTGCAGACGGAAGGTGTATCAAAGACTTCTTGTGGTTTAGCCGGAGATCAATTGAAAAAGCTCAATCTTGCCTCAGGGGCGCTACAACTCTGACAGCTGCAGCCACAGATGTCGCCAGTCTCTTGGAAGAAGCGCTGTTGCTGCGCCGCTCTGAATCTACGGAGGGGAACCCTTTGTCTTCGAGAAGCCACGCATCTTGCAAGGAACAGCTTGTTGCAGGTCAAAATCACATGGCACACGAGCCTCAAGAGTTGGAGAAGCAATCTTTCAAAATCACTTTCCCAGTATAATATTGTGCCAAACTCTTCCGAGGCAGTTTGCGTCCTTTCGATTGAGGGTGGTGGCAGCATCAGATTTGTAGACCTGGCTGGGTCTGAGCGAAACTATGAGACGAGATTCATGACAGCGCAGCAGCACAGGGATTTTGCTGAGATCAACAAGTCTCTCATGGCATTAAAGGTGGGGAGCCAGCTTACATATTGCTTTGCAGACATGCTTGCTGTTGACACTCTGCAGACTTGTGAGCATCACTGCCGCTAGGAGTGTTTTCGTGCTCATGGGCAGCTCGTGAGACAGAAGCAGACCAGGGTCCCATATCGTGCCAGCAACCTCACACAGGCGGTGTGAAAACCATTGTTTTTCTGATCAATCCAGCAAGACCTGATTCGCAGGTGTTGCGTTCCTGCTTCACCCCGGAGCACAGGAGGGGACATGAGGCTGCAACTTCCATCAACATTTCTTGGCTTGTCAAGGGAACTGCCCCGCACTTCAAATGGTCTCTTGCTTCAGGACATTGATCTTGGCAACCATCTCACCCACTGCGACAGATTTGCTGCACTCCACCAACTCCCTACTGCAAGTGACACAAATGTGCGAGTCTCAGCCTCCATAAGTGTGCGCGTGTGGTGTGAGATTGTGGTGTAATGGCAATGGAATGAGGCAGTCTTCGTTAGTGCTATGCACTGTGCGCCGTTCATTTGTGTCGTGCGGTCTGCGAGTGAAGAGAGGAGACATCGTTAGACAATGCCTGAGGTCCAAGGCATTGTCTGCCTTGCGCTCGGAGTGCTGTGTGGAATTGCCATTGGTATCTTTCTCTGCTTCTACTCCCATTTGGGAATGGACCAACGAGGAGGTCAACATGTGCCTTTGAGTGGAACAGGAGCTTCCTGCTGCATAGACAGTGTAGTCTTGATGCTGCTCCTTCACTTTTAAGGCTCACCTAGAGCATTTCTGTTTGGAAGAGTAGTAGGCAGGTGTTGATCACAGGATGTGAGTGGCGAAAGTGCTGGCGTTTTTTCTCAGTGCAGCGGCAGCACTCCCACATTTGATGTCAACATGCTACTAGAATGACATCAGGGAGCATGCCTGTTTAGTCTACCGATGGCAAGACTGAACGGTATTTCAGGTATATAAGTGACAAGGAGAAAGGCTCTCGCTCGCCATGAGTGAACTGTTTTGTTGTGCAATCTTAACCCAATTCCAACTCATTCGGGTGACAAGATGCCATAAGCATGTTTTCTTGTTTGATTCCTGGAGCAGATGCACAGATATATATATATATATTTATTGTTTGTTTTTTACTTCAATATAACATACCGATACTCATCCAAGGTGGATTAGAACGGTGAACAACGGCCTCTTCAAGTACCTGGTGCTGCCGCCGAAGATCACAGGTGAGATGCTGCTGCATCTCTCTTCCCAGGCACACCACACCTATCGGTCATCATTGCAATTTGGAGTACTCTAATTTAAGCCACACCGCGATTTGTAAGATTCACAGGTTTACCAAAGCAAGTGCCCCCAGTGCCTGCTTCAGGCCTTGTCAGAGCTCTTTGACATGAGCCTTCGTGCTGCTCGTGGTGTTGGCGAGGGCGAGGCTTGTGATTTTGTCTGATGTTCATTGAAGGTGTTAGCGTGGACATGCAGCACAGCAAATGGCGGTTGCTATTACAACATCGGCCCCGTGAGCTACAGGCCTGGAATGAGGCTCTTGCAAAGGATGTGGGCATTCGTGTGGGGCGGATGCTGTTCGCTGCGGTGCGGAAGGAGGCAATGCGCTGGCCTTCAACGGACCGAAGTGATGCGCGCCCGCGCGCGTACGCGCGCTGTGTGTGTGTGTGTGTTTGTGTGTTTGTGTGTGGAACCCTTGGAATCACAGGGATCCCGTTGGTTTTCCAAGCAGGGGGTCCAGGCAGTTGTGAGTTGTCCCTGGACCAACGAAGACGGACTCACAACTGGTGAAGCGAGAAGGGACGCCTTCTCGTGTACCTGCATTAATAAACTGTTGATTGATTGTTGTGGTCCCCTGGTTTGTTTTATGGTGGTTCATGTGCCTGATGTTGTTGCAGGAGGTGTTTAGGCCCGTTTAGGCCTTCAGGCCGCCAAACCTGTAGCGAGGGCCTTCAACCTGGCTGCGATGGCCTCCAACTACTAGCGATGGCCTCTAACCTTGGCTGTCTTGCAGCTTCTTGTCACCAACCTACTAGCGATGGCCCCCCAACCTGCTTTTGATGGCCTTTAACCTGAGAGTGATGACCTCCAACTTTGGCTGTTTTGCAGCTACATGTCACCAACCTACTAGCACTGGCCCCCAACCTGCTTTGTTTTCCCTGGACTCTCAGGAATATGGGCACCTAGGTTGGCAAGTGGCAGTCAGTACGCCGTATCTCGAGTGTGTCTGGCTTCACGCCAGCCCAGGGTGAACAGGAGGAGTGTCCCCTGTGGCCCCGTTGAACGGGGGTTTGTCCATGTTCCCTGGCTTGGGAACCTACGTGTCCGGAGCGGACAGCAGGAGGTTTAAGCCAAAGTATGCCAAAGTTATTTGCCAAGACTTGCTGAATTATTGAATTTGAGTAGGCCGCTTTCGACCAAGCCAATAGGTGACCATAGCCGTCAAAGCTGCCAGCCAGTTTGCACGGCGTAGCGTGGCCGCAGCGGCGCCCAGTATAGGCTCTGCTGGAGCCTTTCTTCCCTTTCCTCCCCTTTCCGTCTGACCTCTTCCTTCTTTTTGCTCTTTGGGGTGTCCCCAGGTGCACCCCTCTCCCTGCTGTGTCCCTGGATGCCTATTTCGTAGCTGGGAACACCTGTCTCCTTTCCCCTTCTTTCCCCTTCTTTCCATCTTTTTGTCTTTCTCTTTCTCTTTCTCTTTCTCTTTCTCTCTCTCTCTCTCTCCCTTCTTTTCCCCCTTTCTTTCTCGCTTGGGTGTCCCTGGATGCTTCCGTCATAGCTGGGAACCCCTCTCATCTTGTCTTGGTATGTCCTTGGACGCTTGAGTCGTAGCTGGGAACACCATCTGTTCCTTTCCTTTTCTTTCCTCTTTCATTTACAACAGGTGTTTTAATGAGGTTCGGCTTTTAATCGGTTTGTTCCCTTTCATTTGATTCCCTCTTCATTGGCCCCCGCAGAATTCTTTTCCTTCTTTTCTTTCACGTCCTTCTGTCTTCATGTTTCTTCATCCTCATCCTTTTCTTCTCTTGCGCGCACCTTTGCCCGGACCTTAGCTTGTGCACATACACGCACGTATGCCCCACATCAAACTAGGTTCAGGTGCCCCAGGTCTGTTACAATGAGGTTTGGTGCATTGGTTGTCCCTCTTCACTTGGTTTCCCTTCATCGGCAACGACCTACACTCTTTTGTCCGTCTCGTCTCTTTCATGTTCATCTGTGCCTTTTGCGCGCGCATGTGCTCACATTGCCCCCTTTCCGGGCAGGAAGGGGTGCCTCCTTTCCGGTGCCTCTCTTGTGGGAGGCGTGTGTGTGGAACCCTCGGAATCACAGGAACCCGTTACTCACAACTGGTGAAGCGAGAAGGGACGCCTTCTCGTGTACTTGCGTTAATAAACTGTTGATTGGTTGCTGTGGTCCCCTGGTTTGTTTTATGGTGGTTCATGTGCCTGATGTTGTTCCAGGAAGTGTTTAGGTCTTCAGGTAGGCCAACCTATAGCGAGGGCCTTCAACCTGGTTGCGATGGCCTCCAACTAGCGATGGCCTCTAACCTTGGCTATCTTGCAGTTTCTTGTCGCCAACCTTCGATGTTCTGCTTGCGTTTCGTGTTTTGAGCCTTGTTGGGCTCCAACCTTGTAGTGAGGGCCTCAAACCTTGTTGTGATGGCCTCCACCCTACTAGTTCTGGCCTCCAGCCTTGTGAGCCTTGCTGCTGTGAGTCTTGTTTCACCTACTAGCAACCGACTTTCTCCGTTCTACTGTATACTCAAGATTCTTAGGCAGCCGTGTGGCCCGACACATTCAGTACCGTACGATTTCTTGGCCTTCGCGCCAGCCCGGGGTGAGCCGGAAGAGTGCCCCCCTGCACCCTTGCTGACCAAAGGGTTTGTCTTCTTCCCCCTTGCGGCGCAGGGAGTTCGTAGCGGACGAAGGAGCCCTTGCGCAAACGTCAATTAAGACCTTGAGCAGGCAGCCTTTGGCACGCCATTCTGGCATGGCGTGAGTAGGCTGCAGCAGCCGTAGTACGCGAACTTGAATTCTTCCCACACCTCTCTCCCTCTCCTTCTCTCTTCTTCCTTTGGAAAAATTTTGACCCGCCTGGATGTAACACCAAAGCATACCCCTTCTTTCCACGGAGTGTGTCCCTGCCTGTGTCGTAGCTGGGAGCACCTCTCCCCACCTTCCCCGTCTTTCCCTCCCCTCCCCCCTTTCTCTTTTCTTTCTTTCCTTCTCGGGTGTTCCGTCATAGCTGCGACCCCTCTCACTTTGTTAGGTGTGTCCCTGGATGCTGGTCCGGCCGCTCATCGATTTGTCCCCTTTCATTTGGTTCCCTCTTCAATGGCCGTTGCGCACACTGTTTCCTTCGTTTCTTTCATGTCCTCTCTGTCTTCATGTCCTGTCATCTTCACCCTTTTCTTCTCTCGCGCGCATGCACGTACGAGCGTACTCCTTCACCAAACAAGGTTCAGGCGCCCCAGGTTTGTTTTATATAATGAGGTATGATTCATTGGTTGTCCCTCTTCACTAGGTTTTTGCCTTCAGTGGCAACTACACGCATTTTTTTTCTGTCTTGTCTCGCTCATGTCGCTCATCGTTCATATGTCTTGCGCGCGTGTGCTCGCAAACCCCCTGTCCGGGCAGGATGGGGGTGCCTCCTTTCCGGGCAAGACGGAAGCCACGCATGTCTTGTGTGGGACGCTTGGAGTCACAGGAGGCCTTTTGTTGGTTGGTCTTCAAGGCCATTTGGGTCTTAGAGGAGCGGTGGCCAACGAAGACCTCCTCTGAAACCTGTATAAACGTACTTGCCAACTGGTTGCCTGTTGTTCTCGCTGTGGTTTGCTTCCATGGTGGTTCGTGTGGTTCTGCTACTGAATGAAACTTGCGTTAGGTGTTTTGAGTCTTGTTGGGCTCCAACCTTGTAGTGAGGGCCTCCTACCTTGCCACAATGACCTCCACGCTACTAGCGTTTTAGTTTTGCGTTTTGCGTTTTGAGTCTTGTGGCCCCTAACCTTGTAGCGAGGGCCTCCAACCTTGTTGTGATGGCCCATGAAGCCAACCTACTAGTGATGGCCCCCAACCTGTTGCGACCACCTCCTACCGACCTAGATGCGCCAGCCTCCAACCTAAGAGCGATGGCCTCCAACCTACTTGTTCCGTTCTACTCACGATCTTTTTTCCTAGGCAGCCGTGTGGCATCAGCCGTTCAGTACTGTACGACTTTTTCCCGCGTGTGCGCGTGTGCGTGTCGTGTGCGCGTGCGTGCCTTCATGAACTTGACGTACCAAAGTTGAAGTGCCAACATGGCCCGAAAAAAATTCATTCAATCATTCAATTGACGCCCGAAGCTAAAGTACGTTGTGAACATATATATATATATATATATTTACTGTATATAACATATATATATATATTATTTTTTTTTAAATCTCTCTCTCTCTCTTTCTCTCCCTGCAGCTTTGGCCTCCACAGGACAATTGGTTAATTTGTCGGCGTGAAGAGCGTGAACTTGAGGAAAGTTTGGGTTTGCCACCTGAATCTGAGCCTTGCAACCGTATTAGGCAGTTGTTTTTTTACTTCCCGGATGCCACAGCCTTGCCCTTGCAGAAACTTAGAGAACAAAGCACAGAGAAATGCAACTGGTAAGTGCATGTAGAGGTCCTTTTCCGAGCTTGGATCCCACGTCGCCATTAGTCTCCTGTTCGCTTTTACTTTTCCTTCGGAATGCCATGAGTGAAGGGACTGAAGGGATCATTGCGGATTTTCTCAATCAGTTTGTTCAGTCCACCACTAGTCACTAGTCACTAGCCACTGGCCGCCACTGCTCCTGTCCAAGGAGCGTCACTGTGAGTTCTTCTTCTGGGGTGAGACGGTGCCAAGGAACAGGACCGATGGCCCAGACTGAGGCGGTGCGGACGTCTGGATTTGACCGTGTGCACTTGAGCCAAAGTGCCAAGCTTGAGCCAAAGCTCAGTTTGTACAAAGAGATTTGCACGAAGCTCAGTTTAGCACTTTGTAATTTTTTGGTGCAGCAGAAGGAATTCCAAAGTGACTCTTTCGCAATCTTGGATTCATGCGGACGTCGTGTGCTTCGGTTCAAAGATCGGGGGCGAGCAATGGCACCACTGGGTGCGGGGTTGTTTTGCTCCCGGCTGTTAGGCAGGCCCAACCGCAAAACCAGCTCAAGTGCGTGAGCATTTGGGCTCAAGCAAAGTGAGAACAAGGGACTTGCCACAAGGCAAAATGATCAACATAGATGTGCTTTGGTCATGGGCGTGCGCATAGCCACCTTCGCAGCGAGCTTGGCGGCGTTAGCGGGTGCAAAGGCCAGCGTGAGTCTCACGCTGGTCACTAATTTTTGTGCACAATTTGCAAGCCTAACCTGTCAGCAGCCAGGTTCAAAATGCATGCAGGGGAGCTCGCAGGGATGGTATCCAAACCTTGGATGACAGGTCTTCAGATCTCCAGTACTTATTCTATTGGTGGCTGTCGGAACCTATGTGGGAGGTGACTTGAAAAGACAGTGGTTTTTTAAATGCACCACTCGCGCCAAACGCCAAACGCCAAAAGGAAGGAAGCGTAGAAACTGGTTCTTCCTTTTGAGCACCGCAGTGGGCATCAACGATCCAGAAACAAAGGGCTTCTTCATCATAGGCTGTCAAGGCCGCGTTTACAGAGCCCTGCATCAAGATAGATGCTTTTGAGGCGCGCTTTGTTTGGCGCTTCGCTGCTGGGCGATGTACCACAGAGCTTCGTCGTGGCGGCTTTCCCACCTCTCCCTTGGCTCAGTGACCTGGCGCTGGAAAGAGCCAAGTGCCCGAATCACATTCATGAGGGCTCCAGTGCAAAACTGATGAAGAGGCTGGAACAAAAGGCTGTAATTGCAAAGAATAAACGCTTGGGACCCCAAGCTGCTTAGATGTCCAGTTCCAGTCAATAGCGAAGCTCTTCGGCTTTGAAGGACCCAGAACCCTGGGTTTCTACTGTAAACACTTTAATTGACTGACTCCATCTCTGTCTCTCTATCTCTCTGTTTGTCTCTGGGTGTTCAGGCACACGGAACTGATGCAAGCAAATCCAGCGCTCTCACTGGGTTCATATCAGCAGCTCTCATTCTCAAGCTAGGCCCAGTGCTTTTGAAACAGTGCTGCTGCCCAGGTAGAGGCAGCAGAGCTGGCCTTCCGCCAGGGCACGCCGTACCTGCTGGTGTGTGGTGGTGAGTTGGTCCGTGATGTCCTTGGAGCAAAGCTTGGCGCAGACTTAGCGAGGCCACAAGAGGAACTGTCAAAGACAGAAGTCTCAGAAGCACAGTACTGCTTGGATTGAGCCGCCTAAGTTGCCGCCTGGATCAGGCATGGCGGCATGCTGGCATTCTTCTCCAGTGGCCACTTCAAGCAGCTCAGTGATTTTGCACCCATTTCATCCACTTTGCCTTCACCTTCGTCACCCTCACCTTTCGATGGGATCGATTTGGCCGCATTGCAGCCGGTGCTGAAACTGGATAGGGTGCGAAGTAAGAGCATCGAATGGCACATTTTCTCGACGTAAAAACAGAATATATAGATTTACCTCATAAATAATGTCATATGTCATGTTTGGGACCGCGATGCTGATCAGGAGGCGCTTGACACATTGTCCAACTTCACGACCTTTGTACGACATTTGGAGAGGCAAGGCCTGATGCATAGGTACAATCGAGGCCGGGCAGCCATGTCGTTTTTACATTCTGCCACAAAACCTGTTGTTTAAACAACTGCACAAGTTGCCGCGGTCAGAGAGCCCAGCTTTGTCCGATTTTATCACACGATCGGGTTCCTTGCACTACTTGTAATGTGGCTTTGCGGAACTGGATGACATGTGGTGTAGATTTGATATTAGTGTGACGAGTCTTGACCAAAGGGTGCCATGTACTGGCTGAAGTTGCGTGTGAAATCGTGTAACATTGGTTGACTTTCTTGGTAGATGCCGCCGTGGATGTGGTGATTGTGACCTCCAAGTATCATGTGCGGCGAGTCTGGGCTCTTGCGACAGTTGTGCTTGGATCTCAAGGTCTCTCTTTCCACATTGCTGAAGCGAGACTTGGATTGTGATCATAGGATTAGCCATAGAAGTTTGCGGACAATGTTTGGCGTCGCCTCTGGCAGTTTTACATTACTCAATGGGCTGGGATTCACCCTGTCTGTTTGAACGTGTTTGAACTGTTTGGGCTTGGAACAGGTCCCTTGGACCAAATTGGAACAGGTTCCAAGCCCTGTCCCTTGATTTGGTCGCACCGTTCCGTACATCCACAAGGCCATCCGAGAAGCAAGCCGAGAGCCTTTTACGCTGTGCACGAGATGTGCTACGTGCTTTGCTTTGGCTTGGCACAGGCTTTGAAGGACTGGTGCAGGAAGCGACGCCTTAGTGTCTAGGACATCAAACCCCAGTTTGCGGCAGGCATACTTTTTCAGTTCTGTTGGATACTGGTAGCATGAACCTCTCAAAGGCACGTCAAGTTTCATTTGTTTGCCTAAAGCCGAGCCATTGGTCATTGGATGGTTCTCTCGTAGGATTGTTCATATGACAGGCCGCAGAAAGCTCGCTTGGTTCCTTGTCTGGATGAGACATGGATTCCGTCGTATCCCCTGCATGGGAGGCGATGTACTTGCTGGTCTGGCACATCGAGACCGACGCGACTTTCGTGCTTGGTACCGACAGCGAGGACGAGCAGGAAAGGATCACTGAAGACGTCCGGATTTTAGGTTCTCCCCATCACGACCTCATGGCCCGCAGTGCAAATCATCACTTATTAGACGGTGTTTACGGTGTTTACTTGACCTTCCACGATGGCTGAGCCCGGCGCTCGGAGGTCATCGCCAGGTCAGGTAGAGGTTTGGCTCATGAGCCCACAGTGAGACGTGGTGCGAGTAACAGCTCTCAGGCGCCCAGAAGCCCAGGTGCTTTCAAACTTCTGCGAGAGCTCCAACCATTCCAACCATTGTTCGATAGGAGATGGATTTCTGTGGCTTGTTGCTTTAGTGAGAGGCTCCTGCAGTCAGGCAAGAGAAAAGGGCTCCAAGACTAACTGCATTCTTAAGTATATATCCTAACACTCTTCCACCCTTCGTGTTTTCAAGCTGCTCACTTGGACATGCATTTTCTACTCCCTTGCCGTGCTTTCATCCAGTCTTGTCCAGAAGAACCCCAGGCCTTTTTGACCCTCCCGCCTCACCAAGGCAGGGCCCGGTGGCACCGTACGGAGCCCAGTGGATTGCTCGGTGTTTCCAACTGCGTTGCCATAAATCCACAGCGATTTCTGACGAAAGCCGCTGTCCGTGTGCATTTTGGCTCCTTTGGCTGTAAAGAGGATGGGGGAGCCGATTTTAGAGCGACCAAGCAGTCAACAGCCTCAGTTCATTCATGATGTTTTTTACACTTCACCTCACAATTTGTCATATCTTTGAAGCTTTGTGATTGCTCATGGCGGCAGAAAGGCACCCCGGAGCCAGAAGATTTGTACAGTTCTTCTAGACTCAACACTTGGGTCTTGGAGTCGACCATGCATGGGCTGAGCTTGACCAGCATGCAGCCCATCTTCCTTCCTGCACAACCGCTGGCAGCGCGGCCATCTGTTTCATGCAACTCACTTGATCGGTTGAAGCATCGCGGCTTCCCCACCTGTCGATTGGGAAGGCGTCGAGGTCGTGTGGCTCGATTCCATGCTGTTGAAAATGCGATAGCTGGGAAGAAGACCAGGCGCCTTGTGGTGTTTTTTGCGTTGGTCGTGAGCTATTCTTGGTATTATGTTTGCAGACTGTCGTTGTCTTATGCTGGACCGTCCATTGTGAAAAAAGAAGGTCTTGATCTTAGGACAATGGGAGCAATATTGAGTTCTGGGCAAATTTCTATTGGACTAAGCAAGATCATGTCCAGTGTTTTGACCGCAGACTTGTCCCCTTCTCGTTGTTTGGTCTTCGGCCTGCTGCTCACAGCTGCATGCAACCTCCTTGCTGCAGTGGTGCCAGCCACAAGCCCTACCAATCTTGCAGTGGTCCTGGCTGTGCTGTGGGCGATGAATGGCTTGTTTCAAGGCCTTGGAAGTCCTTCATGCGCTCGCATCATCAGTGCCTGGTGTAGCGCCAAGGAACGTGGCAGCTTCTGGTCCTTGTGGAACATGTCCAACAACTTGGGTGGAGCACTAGCGCCTCTGATGGTGAGTTTGGGCGCTGCGGCGGGCTGGCGTGGCAGTTTGCTGCTGGCAGGGGCAAGTGCAGCGTTCATCAGCATTTTTGTGGCTTTTCTGGTGCAGGATTCTCCAGATGGTCAGGTGGAAGCTGTGAAGTCTCACTCTGAAGGCATCCACCTCTCTGGTCTGTCGCTTTTATGGAAGGGCTGCCTTTTGAAACCTGGAATGGCCTGCCTGGCGCTGGCTAATTTTGTAGTCTATGGTTTGAAGAGTGCCATGATTTCTTGGCTGGCCTTCTATGTGCAAGCCCATGGCCATACCGCCTTGTCAGCTGCAGGACGTTTGAGTATGTTCGAGATTGGTGGCTTGTTTGGGAGCCTTGTGTCTGGCCCCTTGAGCGACAAGTATTGGCATCTTCGTGGTTCAGGAGCCCCATTGGTTGGCTGCCGCGTCCAGGTTGCATCTGCCAGTGTGCTTGCCATCCTGCTGCCTGCAATGATCACCGTCGTCTTTGGGCCTTCGCGCATCAGCTTCATTGCAATGTTCGCGGTAGGCTTTGGCCTTTATGTGGCACAGGCCCTTGCTGCTTTATCTGGCTTGGAGCTGGTAACAGGACGTGCAGCAGGGGTGTCTCAGGGTTTATTGGGATGGTCTGCATACACCGGAGCGGCGGCCTCTGGCTTACCCTTGGGTTGGCTCATACAAAGCACAGGCTGGCAGGCCTGGCGGATGGTGATGGCCGGGGGCTCTATGCTAGTTGTCCTTCTGTTTTTGCCATTGTGGCGCCTACCGTCCAATGAGCAGCGGCAGCAAGGGGCCACTAAGGCCGCATCATGACTCATGACCATGCTTTTGACTCGTGCCACCGCCCAGTTGCTGCTTCGGGCAAAAAATTGACTGTGTTTCATGTCACCACACCATGAAATGGCTGTCATTATGCCTGCTGAGTGGATGATGGGTATACGGTATACCGTATACTGTACACACACACAACAACACAGAGAGAGAGATATACACACCAAATTTTGACCGAGACAGACTGTTTCTCTTTGAGAGTTCGCAGAAAACATGCTCAGAGGGAGAGAATCGACCCGACTAGCCCAGTCTTTTGTTTGCTGATTAATATGGTTTTGACTCTTTTGACGATGAGGCTGGTGCAGTTAAAGTCAGGACGAAACACGGAATTGATGTAGAGTTACTTGAAGATGTTGGTGCTTTCATGTCATAATTGCTGAGGTGGAGGAAGACCTGCCACCATTGGAGTCAATGGTGGAGGAAGACCTACCGCCACTGAAGTCAATGGTGGAGCAACAGGAGGCCCTTTCAAGATTGATTATTGACGGCTGATTAATGTTCTCGCAGCATTTCCCAGGAATCACCCAAACGAGGGAGTGGATCATGCATTTTGAGAATAGGCAGACTAAGAAAGGAAAAAAGGACAGGAGCCCTGAGCCTATTTTTCAATCAATTACTTCTTCGGCGTATTGAGAAGAAAAGGTGGATTTGGGGTCAGGTGAAGGGAGCCGAGCCACCAGACCAAGTTGGGTCCAACGGCTGTATGCTCAATGATTTCAGCTGCAACGAGCGAGGGGCTTCCGGGCTTTCGAATAGGTTTGGAGCCATTACTCATTACTCAATGCCTATAACTTATAACTATAGTAGCGAACATTGCTCCTAGTAGTAAGGCCAGGAGCCCTTAGTAGCGTCCTTGCTCCTAGTAGCGATGCCCTTTGCTCCTGGTAGCGAACATAGCTCCTAGGATGACCTGAATCCACGAGTCGTTTGTTGTGTAGGTCCTTGAGGTTGCACTTTGGAATGGGAAACAGTTGCCCAAATGACACATCCTCATGGCCCAGGCTATGGGGCAATGCACAGCCCTGCAGGCTGAGAAGTGACTGGGTGGCTTTGTGAGCTGGGCTTCAGGTTGTCACCATGGAAACAATTTATACTATATATGGTAGAGTGGAGGGCCAGTGGAGCTTCTCCATTCGTGAGGCCAGATGCCTATTTACATAGACATTGGAACAAAGAGCCTTGGGACTTTTGAAGCACAGCTGCAAGCTGCAGGAGCTGTTGCAAGAGAGAGACGTGGCATTCAGGTTTGAAGCCAAGACTCCGGGGCAGATTTTGTTTCAAGCACCATCTCAGAAGGCAGTAGGGCCGACACTTTTGTACATTTTTTGCGATGGACGTGTTGTGCCCTCTCACGGGTATTTTGGTTGTTCTCCTCCATTTGGTCAAGGATTTGCCATCCGAATCGAAGCTGGTGCAGCACTCGGCATTTAACCGCAGCATAGCATGCTTTGCACACTAAGCTAGAAAATGGCTAAGCACGGGAATGCAGACTTGGATGTGCAGGGAAGTAGAATAGCTAGCAGCTAGCTGCGATGTTGGAAGGCTGGCCTGCTGTGTCTTTGGTAGGGGGGGCTTGTCCAGGTCCATCTGAACCGATAGGTCGTGTCTGGGTCCAGATTTGTCAAACAAGGGGGTTTTGATGGGTTTGGGGGTTCTACAAATGAAAAAAGAACATCCTGTATATGTATATATATATATATGCGTGTGTGTGTGTGTGTCCACCCCTGGACAAAGGGTTTCGTCCAACTAATCCACTGGTCACCTTTACCACCGTTCAGTTCCACAGCAGGGGGACTGTCTACCCCACAGAAGTGACAGTCCAACGAAGAGGCTTCTGTGGCGGTACTGATATCAGTTCCGGACGCGGAACTGACGTACCTGCTTTCAACACAATGACTCCACTGGTCCACCCTGCCGCTGTTCCTTGTTTCCATGGTTCTTCATGCTACCACCCCCAAAACAGGTCTCTCAGCCACTTTCAGCAGCCGCGGTCTTTTGCAGCTTGTCGTCGCAGTCAAGGGAAACAACCTTTGTTCAAACACCTACAATTTC